GAAAAAAAGTGACAAAAATAAAATAAGTTTTATAAATGAATATATAATATATATATTTATTAATTGATAAGGATAAATTATATTACTATTAATAATTATATTTCTATAACTAAAAAACTAAAAGTTTCATGTTATATCAATAATACTTTTTTTTATGGTTTCTTTTATGTACATTCCTAAGAATTCTATTTGAGGATTAAACACTCCTAAGCAATCTCTATTTATAATATAAGATAACTCTTGAAAGCATCATTTATTACATTTCAAAAATTTAATTTTCCAAAATATAAAGTTTGTAAATCTCATTAAATATCATAAAAATATTAAATAATAATAAGATAAAAAAATTTTTAAAGTTAATGAAAGATTGATGATTTCATTTATTTATTCTTTATAATTGCATAAAAAATAATATTCTTTATAATTGTATAAAAAATAATATTCGAAAAATAAACAATATTATTATTATAATTTATACTATATTATTATAACATAAATAATTTTTACTTACAGGAAATCTTAATTCTCTATCTAAAATTTTTTCTCCTATTACATGAATTATCATTTCTTCTGATTTTGCTAAAATTGATATAAGAAAACATAATTTTGTATTTGTTGCAGTTTGGATCTATAATATTAAAAATTTACATTAAAATGATATTTAATTTTAAAAGTAGTATAAACATTTCTTATGTTATGAATATTTCAACAAATATATATTATAAACAATTAAATTGTTTATTTTAATGTAAAATAAATTTCATAGAAAAAAATATTTTTTATAAAAAAAACATTTAATCGTTAAAAAATTGTATAAAAAATTGCAATATCTTTAAAAGAATCATGCCGCGAAAAATTACATAAAAATAATGACTATATTACTCACATATTTATTTAATTTTTGTTGTGATTGAGGATAGGAAAGATAACACATATCTTCTAAAAGTAAAAGAATTTGTTCCATTTGTGATGTGTTTAAATTAATTATACTCATTTTCATTGATTCTACTATATTTTTTACCAAACTAACTTTTATAAATCATACAATTTAATCATATCTATCTTTTTTATTTTAAATTTCATTTTTCGCAAATATAATGCAAAATGATTTTTAATAATTGTCTATTATTTTTTTAATGTTCATGAAAAGTATTTATTTCAATTATTTTTTAAATTTAAATTAACTGTCAAACCACAGGAGAAGCATGTTATAAAGACTTACTACAATCTCTATCTCTATAGAACTTTGCTTTCTACGTACTTATGTATTTCTTCAATCATGAATAAGTGATATACGCAAGGTTTACATCTTACGCCGTTTTTAAAAATTTTTTTTATTTTTTTCATCTTTATAATATTTCATTTTTTTTTAAATTTGAAAATTAAATTTATATAATATACATAATTTAATGTAATTATTATATTTTTCTTAAAATTGGTTCTTAAAATATTTTATTCATGTTTAATTTTTTTATTCATATCTAAATCTTAATAATAAAATCATATTTTATATAATTTGTTTGAATTTTTAAAAATATATTAAGTGCTTTTTTTATTTCTTATTTTTTATTAAATTTTTTATCTAATTATCATAATTTTAATCAAATTTATTCATATATTTATAAATAAAGAATATTATATTCTGTAATGTTGGCAACATTTTTGAATAATTTGTATCTACATGACGCGTTTTTGTTCTATGAAAAGTGTAATAATGGATAATATTGTTTCTGCAATTGATAGAAGATAATACAAGTGTTTAAAAAAAAATTATATTAATTTTAAAGATAAAATTTTTCTAATGAATTTATTAAGTTGACAACAGCGCATATTGTGCTGTTTTAATGTCTTGATTATATAAAAGAATTAATTATTAATATATAATAAAAAATATATAATATATAACAAAACGCTTTTAATTTTATTAATTATATTTTAAAAATTACATATAATTATATTTTAAAATGTGAACTTATAATTATTTTTATTATTTTTATTATTTTTTAATAGTAAAATAAGATCTAAAATTTTCATTTGCTTTACATTATTTTGAAATAACAAAATAAATTGTTTATAAAATTTATAAAAATGAGTACGGAAGATGAATATAATATAGCCACAAGATATAGAACTGTTCGTAAACATTTAGATAGTTTAGGCTATAAACAAGCACTTACATTTGATGCACTTCCACTAATTGAAAAATTGTTGGCTGATTTGATACAAACAACAGAAAGTTTGAAACATTTTAAAAATATTGCTCAAGAAAATATTGAGGTCTGTATTTATATAATTTATTTTTTTTTTTTTGTTAACTTTAATATAGATTTTATATAATTGATATAAAATTAATTGTTATTTATAATTATGAAATCATCATGATCTTTTAAGACACCCTTTGTATAAAACAATGAATATGAATATATACATTATAATGTATTGATATAATAAGAAAGTATTTAAATATAATAAATATTTTAGTATAAAAAATTAATTATATAATATGATTTATACAATTGAATATTTTTATTATATATTATAGGCACATATTCAATTACAATCAACAATTGATCCTTATAAATGTGATAATGTAAGGCTAGTGCAAGAATGTAATCAGCTTCATTCAGATTTGATAAAAGAAAAAGAAAGTCATCAAAAGCAAATTAAAGATCTTAAGAAAGAAATATATAAATTAGAGCGTGAATGTAATGATCTTCAACTATCATCTTCTCGCAATTTACATAGAATTAAGGAATTAGAAACTGAATCTGCTAAGAAGTCAAAAAGAATTTTGGAACTCCAAGGAAAATGTTTAAAACCAACTATTAGCAATGTTGGATTAGGTAATTTTTATTGTTTTAATTTATATATTATAATTTTTATTTAGTATTATTTTTTTATAATATTTTTTATAATTTAATTTAAAATATTAAATATTTTAAATGTAATTAACAATTGATATAATAAGTTTTATTATAATAATTAGTATAATATAATAATATAATATATAATTTAAATAGTTAAAGTTCAAAATTTTAAAACATATTTTTAAATTTTTATAATTTTATCTTTTATTATGACAGCTTCTAAGAAACGTTCTGTTTTCCCACTTCGAAGACCAGTTATAGAAAGTGAACCATTACCAAAAACAGGAATTAAATTTACACCATTACCAAATTTAAGCACTGTGGAACCAAAAATTATTGATTTGTTAAATATGGCAGATCATAAGATGAATTGTTTGAGTCATGAGGTAACAAATTTAAAAGAAGAACTCTCTTTACAAAATGACAATATTCAAATATTAAAAAGTCAGGTATATTATTGTTAATTACATTTGCATGAATTTACATTGCATGAATTGCATGAATTTCTTAAATTTAAAAGTAGTTATTCCATTATTATTAATTACAAGTGATATTACATGATAATATATAAATATTGAATTTTGAATATTTATTTAAAATTTAACAAATACAAATATATTGTAAAAATATATTTATAGTTGACTAATAAAGAAAAAGAAATTTTACGATTGAAGAAAATGTTAGAAGGAGGTAGACCATATTTAGCTGTTTCTAAAGATTATAAAAAAACAGAAAATAATTATGTAATATCCGATAATGTAAATGATGAATTAAAAATACTCCAACAAGAAAAATTGGAATTAGAGCAGCAATTAAAAGGTATAAAATTGTATATCCTTTTTAATATAAGATTAAAAATTTTTTTATATTATTTATGTTATGTCATATTCATATAGAAGCTTTAAACAAACAACATGATGCTATGTCTCAAGCACTTAAACTTGCTGATCGAAATGAGGAATTGGAAAAGGAATTAAAAGACATAGATTATATTGCATTAGCAGTAGAAGCTGATTGTAACTCAACAGTTAAAGAAAATAATAAAAGAGTTTTTAAATTGCAGGTAAATAAAATTTTGTAATTTTTTTTAAGAATTAAATTATATCTAAATATATTATTATTAAAATTTAAATTTATATAGGAAAAATTAGAGAATGTAACGACAAGAGTACATGTATTAGAAGATGAATTAAGTACTGAGCATAGAGAAGTACAAGAATTGAGAACAAATCTGGAGACATGTAGATTAGAGAAACTTAATATTCAACGAACTTTGGAATGTACTTTAGATGAAAAAAAGCAGATGACTGATAGAATAAATGAATTAACTGTAATTGGTATAGAATTTTCTTTTTTCATTATTATATATATATAATATTAAAAAGTATAATTATATAATTTTATAGAGTTAATAAATATTTTTTTATGATATTGTAGAAAAAAATTTAAATGATGAGATCGAAAGATTGGCTAAGGAAAATGAAAAACAAAAACAAGATATTATTCAATTACAATATAGTAATAAGTTATTAAAAGAGCAAATGAGTGCAAAAGATATATTATTAGATAACAATGGAACAAATGAAACTAGAGAAAAAGGAAGAAAAAATAATTATAATAAAGGTAAAATTATAAAATATAAAATGTAATATATTTATTTATGATATATTATAAAATATATTTATTTATATTTTTTTAAAATTATCAGAACAAAATAGAATAGATTTTCAAGAGGTACATAAAGAAACAAAGATTTTTCAAGATATAAATCATGGACATAACAATATATTGAAACAATTAGATGGAAAAGATATTGAAACAAATGTATGTATTATTTTGTAATTGAATAAATATACTATTTTGAATTTATTTTTTCAATTGCAACAGGCGATTGAACAATTAAGAAGCGAACGAGATTTTTTTAAAAATGAATACAAGAATATTAAGGATAATTACAATAAAACGATTGAAATAGATCACGTAAAATATAATTTGTTTTTTTATACAGTTTATACAGTTTTCTTTAAAACTTTTATTTAATATTGATAGATGATCCATAAAAATTTTTTATTTCATTTTTGCTTTTAAAAATAGGTTGATTTCTCTTCACAAATTCGAGAATTGAAATATCATTTAAATGAAAAAGAAAATGCATTGGATAAATTACAACAAGAGAAAAGAGAATTATATCGTGAAAAAACTAATTTAGAAACACATTTACAAACTTATAAAAATGAACATAAAACACCACATCGACTTTGCAAACATGGTGTTGTATGTAATTGTTCTTCTCTAGTTATAAAAGATAGCAAGATAAAGGTAAAAATAATTATATAATAATTTTTTGTAAATATTATTTATATTATTTTATAATTAAAAAATTTTTTGCATTTAAAATAAAAATTAAATTATTTCATAATAGAATATATTTAATATTAACATATTTAATATTTAATATCTAATTATATTTATAATTATATTTATAATATTTTTAAAATATTTTTTAGGATATTATTGAACGTCTGGAACATGAACGAGATATTGCACGGGCTGATATCGATCGTTTAATTGAAGAACGTAATGCATTACGTGAAAGATTAAAGGTAAGTATTTTTATTTTTAATGTTTTCATATATATCATTATTTTTATAAATCATCAAAAAAGTAAATTTTCTAAAATATTAATATTATTAACTATTAACTATTAACAAATTATTATTAACTATTAATAAATTATTAATAATGAATTTTATAATTTCAAAATGAAGTCAAAAATAAATTTTAAATAGAATTTTATTATAGATAAATTTTTCATGTTGTATAAATATTATGTATTGAAAATTGTATTATATTGATTAATTAGATAGCAACAGAAGCACATACATCTGAACAGCGTCATTTAAGAGAAAATTTGACTGATGTTGAAACTCGACTGAAACAGATAGAAAAGGAACGACAAGAACTTTTACTTACGCAAGGAACACGAAGAGCAACTATAAAAGGACTTGAAGATCAATTACAAGATCTACGAGAAGAGTTACGACGAACCAAACAAGAATTAGGAACACAAAGAACACAATATTTTCAACTTCGGTATTATTTATTTTTTTAATTAAAAATTTTATGAAATGTAATAGAAATTTTAATATTAAATATATTTTATGATGTAGTAACTTATTTAAATTTAAATTAGTAATACTATATATATTTATTATATATAAATTTATTAGCGCTCTACAAGATCAAACGGATCAAACATTGGGAGATGCTCAGAATCAATTAACACAATCAGAATCCGAATTAAATAAAGTATTGGATCGTAATAAAACAATAGAGCGACAAAAATTACAACTTGAAAATCAAATAAAAGATTTAGAAAAAGAAATTAATAATTTTAAAGTGAATATGACACATTTAGATCATGAAAAAGATCAATTATTGGTAAGTAATAGTTAATAATAAAATATACTATTGAATATATAATGATAAAATATTTAATGATAAATTTATATTAACGAATAATTTTTATTAGATGGTATTGGATGAAAAAACAGAAAAAATAGCTGCTTTAGAAAAAGAAATAGCATTAAAAGGACAACAAATAATAGGAAACGAACAACAGATTCGTGATTTACAACACAAAAATGAGTGAGTATATTTATATATTTATATATTTATAAAATTTAATATATTTTTGAAGATCATTTTATCATTAATCATAATATTCTGAAAGTCATACATTGTATATATTTACAAAATATTGACAAAAAATGATATTTAAATATTATACTTGATCAAACATTTGAGATGATATTACATATAATAATTCTTTTATAATATTAATAGCAATATATTATATGATAGAATTTAAAATAAAATTAAAGCATAAAACAAAAATTTCATAGTACTAAAATATTAAATAAATAGGAATTCTTATGATATACACATGAGATTCTTGAGAATATTTGTACAATATTTTAAAAGTATTGTACAATATTTGTACAATAGTATTTACATATAATAGTTTAAGAAAATGCATTTTATCACTGACATATGCTATTATTCATATGTCTATTTCAGTTCTTATTCATTTAAAAGTTTATTGATTTCGCTTTTTCATTAAGAAATTTTGCTAAACTTACAGTAGGTGGTTGACAACCACCCGAAGAAAGAAGATTATTACTTTCTAATTCAGAGATTATAAAAGTATCTGTAATTCTCTTATATCCGGGTCTGCATTCACATCTAGCTTTTGATTCTAATTCTTCATTTTTCCATAAATTCTGTTTTGGCATTCTTTGTGCAACTAACCATTCTCCTGCAGTACAAGGTCCTTGTGTATATAATTTATAACAAGTTTTATTTATTTCTACCATTCCTGGTGTAGATTCGCAACTGTCATTAGTTTCTTCGAAACACTTTTCTAAGTCTTTTTGTACATTTATACATCCACATACTCCATTATAACTAATTCCATCAATAGATGGTCGTACATTATAATCATATAAAACAATTTGTCCTCTCGAACATGGTCCTCTTGTTCCTATTTTATAACATGTTTTTTCTTGTGGAAAATATAATCGTCCTCGTGTGCAAGGTATTGGAATGCAAGTCGTCGAATTTATTAACATATAACCATTTTCACATGGTCCTTTTGTATGAAGTCTATAGCAGAATCCATTTTTATAAAGAACATGACCTGGTTTGCATACACACTTAGCACGAATTTCTTCTTCATTGATTATTGTATTTATTACAATAAAGTGGTGACCTTGTAAACATGGACCAATATCACCTATTAAGAAATAAATAATTTTTGTCAATAATATAAAGTAATAGTAAATATTATAAAATTAAAAGAAATATTTTTTTATCATTTAAAAGTATTTTCGAATTATTTTACCTAATTGATAACACATTCCAGTTGGTTCATGATAGTGAGGTAATTTAGAATGACAGCCACATACACCACCCGGTAAAAATAATTCTCCTGGTTCTGTACATGGTCCTTTAGTGTAATGTTCGTGACAACCACCGCCATTACCTGTCCAATGATATCGTCCAAGTTCTCCATTTGTAGAACAAGAACATAATGTTAATCCATCTTCATCTATGGTGAGAAGTTCCCCTTTTGAACATGGTCCTTTGCTAAATTTAGGATAACATTTATTGTCCCTAGGCCAATAGACTTCTCCTTTTTCTTTGCATGGTTCTGGATCATGACATATACCCCACCTTATTCAGGATTAAAATAATATTTTTAGATAGTTCTATTATTTTTTTATTAATTATTTTTTTAATTATTAAAAATATAAAATAATTATTGATTTAAAAATTGATTTAAAGAACATTTTTTTTATAAAGATTTTAACATCAATTATGTAATATTTTAAAAAAAGCATATGCTTTTATTGCAGAATTAAATCTATAATGAGTATAATGAAAATATGAAGTTTCATTTAAAAAATATATAGTATTATAAAAAAATAAAATTTAATATCGTATCTTTTCAAATTATATAACTACTTTTTCTTTTTATCAAAGTTTTCAAAGTTTCAAAAGTTTTAGAAAATACACAATTTTTAAATTAGTTATATTAATTATATTTATTTTTTGAAAGTTAGAGTTATAAATACATTTGATAATAAAATTTTCGAAAATTGCTTTCAAGAATATTAAATTAAAAGTGAAAAAAAAATTAAGAGTGATTAATCAATAGTAATTTTTATTGTTCTGCAATAATGAAAGTCTGTTGGACAATTGCTCTTAATACAATGTTCACTTTCAAGAAATACTTTTTGAGAACAACTTGAGAGTTTTAGTTTCAAATGTATTTTATAATACCTAGATCTTCCAGATGTCTCTGGTACAGGTGCAAAGAATTGTCCCTTTGGACAAGATGCTCTTGTATATATCTTATGACATAGCGCATCTCTAGGAGATTGTGCAGTTCCTGGAGGACATCTACATTCAGCTATAGTCCCACCTCCACCTGCTGCTGGACTCAGTTCCATTGTCTCTGGACATGGTGCCCCAATCTGTTAATCAAATTAATAATTAAACATAATAATTAACATAAACAATCAATATTCCGTTTTGATGGAGTAAAAAGAAAAAAAGAAATATAAAAAAAATTGATTCTCTAATATATTCTATTAAAAGTACTCCAATGACTTTGTAAAGAGAAATGCAACACCTGCCTGGAATATTTTGTAACACTTTCCATCCGGCGGCCAAAATAACAATTGCCAACCACGTGGTTGAGCGGCACAAGGATTGCTTGACGGATCTGCCCATGGAGGAGGCATTATCGCGGACTTCACACGAACCATTAATGTGAACCAAATAATTAACAATAGATCTCGTAATGCACTGAAACATGTTTAATAAATTTATATTTAGTTGAAATTGAATGAAATAATTCATATAAAAATATGATAAAAAATATGATATAAAAAAAAAATAAACTTTGTATCATATTAACATATAATATAAACTTTGATCATATTAATATATAAAGTGTTTAATGCAATTGAAGTTAAGTCATACTTATAATGACAAATTACAAATTACATTTTTACAATAAAATTCTAAAATTAGCCCATTCCATTATAGTTCAATAATAGACATATTATTAATTTTTATTAGATCACTATATTACTGACTTTTAATAATATAATAATTAATAATATTTAATAATATTTAATAATATAATATTATTAATTAATAGTATATAATATATAACTTTTAAAAATATATCAAGTCAACTTCAATTTTTTAAATATTAAAAAATTATATTAAAAAATTAAATATTAAAATAATCTATTATATTAATGAAAAATATAGATATCACAACAATTTT